AAAGAGAGGGAGGAAAATGAAGAAGGAGATCTGGAAAAGTATAGAGAAAATGCCCGATCAAAGAAACAAACAAAGAATCAGAACAGAGGAACAAAGGAAAAAAATATAGATATAGATATAGATATAGATATAGATATAGATATAGATAATTAGCTTTGACCCAAAGTCAACTTGAGACTACTAGGCTGATTCCAAAGGGAGAAGAGGAGAGAGGAGAGTAGATAGAGAAAAAAGGGAAAAGAGAAGAGAGGGAAAGCAAAGGAAAGAAAAGATGGGCACCTGGGTGGCTCAGTAGGTGAAGCGTCCGACTCTTGAATTTGGTTCAGGTCATGTTCTCCCTGTTGGTGGGTTCGAAACCCCCATCAGGTTCTGCCGTGAGGGCATGGATCCTGCTCGGATTCTCTCTCTCTCTCCCTCTCTCTGTACCTCTCCTGCTTGATCACTCACTCTCTCTCAAAATACAGAAATAAACATTAAAAAAGAAAAGAAAAGATAAAAAGAACAATAATTCAAATGAAAACAAACAAACAAACTAAGATACAAAACCAGAGGAGAGTTGTCTGTTGGTGCCTGGGACTGGTGGCTGTGCTGGTCTAGGGGAGGAGCTGTCTGGTCCCATCAGTGTCAGTCTCACTCCCATAGAGAAGCAGTTACCAGGCACAGAGAGGCAGGGTTTGGTTTAATGGGCCTGCCTCCACTGAGGCTCACTGTCCATTCATTGAAGCCCCACGATGTTGGTCATGGGGGGAGAAATGGCGACACCCCAGTCTCTCCTGCCCACACGAGGTGTCTCAAAACTCACTGTTTAGGCCGTCCTCACGGAATAGCCTGGGGGGCCGGCTTGCCTTGCTGCACAGTCCCCTGTGCTCCCTGAGCACTGAGCTGGGATTCAAAACCCTGTAGGATCCCCCTTTGCTCAGACCTGGTAGTGGAGTTGCGCCACTCTGCCCAGTGGACAAAGGGCAAGCCCTTGTCCCACCAAAGCCGACTTCCTCTCTCCTTCCGTTTCTCTGCCCACCTCTTTGGGGAGCATCTCCCCCCAGTATCAGAGAGCCAGGCTCCAGTGGAGTGGCATAGGGAAGCTCTTTGCCTAGAAATCCAGGAGTCAAGTCAACTCTTCCTTCTCCCCATTTTCTGGGTTCAGAGGAGCCACATCCCTGCCCGTCACAGCCTTGCCCAGAGACACCTCCCACCCTTCTTTCTGGAACTGTTGGCTTAACAGTCAGTTGCTTTTTATTTTTTCTATTTAAAAAAATATTTTTAATGTTTTTCTTTATTTTTGAAGGAGAAAGAGAGACAGAGCATGAG